GGACCTTCCACCAAGAGTGCAGCCCTGGCTTGCACCTGATACAGGTTTTACATATGCTGGGTTCTTCCTTTAAGCTCACTTCCCCCACGACAGTGCAGCCCTTTCCTTCAGTTGAGTTACTCAGGAGATGTCCATGGTTTCTAGACCACATGAGGCTCTGAAACCCAAGAGTCACCTTTTCTAGAGACACAGACACTGAATTGGGGTCAGCAGAACTTCTGAGGTGTGTGCTGATCATCTGACCTGACTCCTAGACATACGGAGTCAGCTTGGAACCTTCCTTCCCCCATTCACCTGAGGTCCTGGAGTGAGTGTCTGGAGGCTGATTTCCTGGGAAGAGGATTGGGAGCTCATGATGGACCAAGGTGACAAATGGTGTGAAAAACAAATGCAGACTAAGGGTATCTTTCATTAAGTCAAAAAACTGAGAGAAAATGCATGATGGAGTTTAACTGCCTGGTGAATGCTTGAAATCAGGTTTGTTTCTCTGAGTTTCACTCACCCTCCATACATGGAAAATTCCCACTGTAGTCCCCATTATTTAACAGTGCACAGCGAGGACTAAGGTACACCTGACAGACTGAGGATATCCAAGGACCAGACTTAAGATTTCTGTGTGTGACAAATATCTCAGGAGATTGCTCCTTTGTTGGCAAGAGAGCTGAGAGTGATGGCTTGGTGCAGACATAAGGAACCAAGGTGACGTCTGTGATGCGGATGGCAACAGTGCCCTTCAGGTGCTCGGGGCACCTATGAGGAGCCAACAGCGAGCAGCATGAAGGACAGTACTGACCAACAGTGACCAGCATGAAGGACAGTGAGGTGTATTCCTAGGAAGAGAAACAATGAGAATAACTCCTTTAGTGAGCAGTACACCGTTGCCCCAGGGGACAGCTGTGCTCTGTAACCCATTCCTGTCCCCTTCACCAATGTGAGGACACTGAGCGACCCCCTGCCATGGCCCTGGGAAGCCCACGATGTGTGACCTAATCTAAACCTGAGGGCCCTCAGATGGGAAATGCCTTCCTATCCCTCATCTGTTCCTGTAACACTGCCCAGAGACACATTCCAGGTGACACTTGGACATCTCTGTGTCCCAGTTTTAAAGGAGGTTTAGAGACCTGACCTCAGATAAGAGGAACCAGTGGAAAGTCTTATTGTTTTCTCACTTCCATTTCAGGTGAGAGCAGAGGGAAGCATTGGGTACTTCCCTTAGGGACACTGAACAGTGAGAATTCATGGGGACAAAGTATTTCCTGAGAAGAGAGGTTCTACACCGTTCAGCATGCTCCTGTGTCTTATGAACATACTGGACAAGTGTACATCCCCACCTTCATCCTTGTGACACCTGGAGTCAGAGAGTGCTGGGAGCTAAAGTCACACCACACATCTCCCTCAAAGAGGTGTCTGTATCCGTGAAAAGTTCTGATCGCTCTCAGAACGTGGTTCACCCACTCTCTTTCTCCACACACATCTATCTAACACAAGCTGTGTTGCTACCATTTGATGGCAGAGAGGTTCACAAAATTTGGACACCTGGAAGAACATTCACAGAGATGTTCAGATGCTTTCCATTCATTTACTCAAGAACTGGAAATCATCAAATACTCCCAGCTGTGCATCTCCCTGCTTGTCTGTGCATGTCACCTATGTCACCTGTGCATGTCACATGTCACCTATGTGTCTTCTGCCCTTTCTCTGTGTCCCCAGTAGGACGTCCCAACTCCCTTATCTACTAAAATATAGACAAGGCTTAACTGGATCCTAAGAAATTATACAACAGAGTTTCACTCTCTTCATGCAAGCCCACTCAAGGCCATGGCAACCATTTATTGGACACAGTCTTGAATCTATGAGAACACTACTTATCAGACCAATTCTCAAGGTTATGAGAAACTGCTTTCCTTAGTTGCCCTGACAACTGGGTGAAGAAGCCAGACTCCCTTGGTTTACCCTACACATGCTCTCAGCTCAGGGATCTTGTGGCCAGGAATCCTGGACCAGGCTCCCCCTCTTTTCAGATTTCATTTTTTTATTGACTCCCCTGTGAAAGTCACACCCCTCCTGCGGTTCTTGTCCCAAAGTGATCTCCTTAGAATGACCTTCCATACCCTCTCCTGCCTACAGTCCTGACTTCACTCCAGCCCTGCAGGGTCAAGAGGCATCACCTCTAATGAAAAATACATACATACCTTTAATTAGCACAGGTGTGATGTTTGTGGTAAAACATGCATTCACTAACATTCTCCTTGTTGATCAAGTTTAAATGAACACACAATGTTCTTAAATACATTAACACCATTGGGTAATCATCATCACCATCTGGATGCAGAAATCCTCACTTTCCCAAAGTGACATGGTGCCCATTACATAATAACTCCCTGTTTCCTGTTCACAGCTCTCATCATGTCCTGTGTGCTTTGTACAGATGTGTTTTTTTTAAGCAGTGCCACCAGACAACCAAACCTACACTACATGGGCTTCTTAATGCAGAGAAGTTGGAGAGTGGATCTGGACCTGTTAACAAATATATCTTGTCCTTCATTTGAAATGTGTTTGAAAATATGAATGTTTTGCCATGGGGGTTGTCACTCAGTGAATTGGGTACGTGCCTGCAAACCAAACAACTGCAGTTCAATTCCCAGTCAGGGCACATGCCTGGGTTGCCAGCCAGTTCCCAGCAGGGGATGCAAGAGAGGAAACCATACATTGATATTTCTCTCCCTCTATCCTTCCCTTCCCTTCTAAAGATAAATAAAATCTTTAAAATATATGAATTTTTTGGCCAAAGGAAAAAAACCTGTTTCTAAAAGTGTGTCATTATCATAAACGTTTCAATCTAAAGGATTCTAATTATATAAATTTTCAATAGAATCAGAGTTTCTAAAATTTAAGAATTCTAATTTAGTTGGAAAGAAATTGTTGATTGGAGAATAGAAGGTATAATATATGACAACGCTTGAAGAAATGCAAGAAAATATTTTGCCCTAAAGTTGGTTGTTTTTTAATGAATTTAAAAAACCAAATTAACAAAGACTGTGTCCTTTGCAGAAAGACTGTGTACATTACAGGGCATTTATACAAATAAAGGCTTTTATAAAGATATCTAGAAAAGATATCATGTACTTCATCTGAATCATGAATTCAGTTAGTTAAATAAACTTAAATATCAATAGTAGCTAATAAAGAATGTCTTTGGTTCTTTTTCAGGCTGTTAAAAGGGAAGATCTTCAAGTTTTGTATAGAAAAAAAAGATGTTATACCTTTCATAAATTGTTATGTGTTATGTTACTCAGATAGTTGCTTACTTAAAACACATATCCTTTATTTTTAAATAATTTTATCTATTTTTAAAGAGAGGGAAAAGGAGGGGGAAAGAGAGGGAGAAAGAGAGGGAGAAAACTATCCACCTGTGAGCGCCTATCACGCACCCCCTACTGGGAGCCTGGCCAGCAATCAAACATGTGCCCTGACTGTGAATCAAATGAGCAATCATTTGCCTTGCAGTCTAGCACTCAAGCTAATGAGCCACACCAGCCAGTGTCGAAAAAACACATACTTTTTATTGTAAGAAGTAAATTTGTGCTAGCCTGTATTTACGTTTAATACCTTTATTGTTAGTTTTTGTAAATAAATACCCAACAATTTATTATTGTTTCATAATGATATTTAATATTTTGATAACATATGAGAAACTTGTCGGTTTAATTTTTCATATTTTTTCTTATTGATATAAAATTGGTTTGGGTTCATTCCAAAGGGTTCCTGGAACTCCACATTGATTTGTACTTTTTTCATATGAATAAAAAGTTTTGAACAAATTAGGCCCATTTTATATGCTTATAGTGCATGCAAAGTTTCATCAATAAGAAAATAGTAACTATGTTCTATTTATACACATATATTTTGGATAATTAAAAAGAAAGTTTAGAGATTATATAAAAATTCCAAGACTCAATTAAGTTCTGATATATTTTCATTTTTCATGTTAAAGTATCTGAAAATGTTGTTACAGAACAACATATTTCTTTATCAATCACATCATAATCAAGTCTGTACCCAGGTCATTTTAAATTTATTTTTCTTTGATTTAGGGAGAGCCATTTATTGATCCTGATGCATTTCCAAATATGTTACATCTTCAGAGAGAACTATAGAAAGGACTATAATTTATTCCAAATTTTATATTTCTGAGATACATTTTCAGGCATGTTTTTGAACAGGATAAATATTAATAGAGCACTATGGAATAACTGGATTTATAGAAATACTGGCAAATAATTGGCATAAACAAAATGGATGATGGGACAGCATGAACTGAAGATAATTGTAGTTTTTTAACTGTTTACCATACTACTATTTTTTAATCATGTTGTTTTTCAGAATGAGAAACCTTGCATTTTTCTTAAAGCAGCTAGTAAATTGTATTTTAATAAGACATACTGAGGCATTTATGTTTTTCTCCTTTTTGGCCCCTCTGAAATTTGGACAGACTTAATGAATGAGTATTGTTATATCCTTAGCAATACACTTATTTGAATTAGTCAAGCAGAAACCTCATTCATTTATATGAATGACGCATAAAGCCATTTTCCAACTGTGGTTTTATCAACCAATAAGTTGACTGGAATGGCATGTCTAAGAAACATGCCTAGACTCTGAATGCCAGCAAAAGCTTAAAAAAATGTAGAATGCTGTTGAAGCCAATACAAGCTACTTGGAGAAAGGGCCTGGTACCTTCCTTATTCATAAAGTTCATGGCAGTCTTTCCAGGCTAGTAGTGAAGGTTCCTTTCCTGGGAGATAGCAGGGGAGAGCTCAGGACATTTTGGAAGACCTCAAGAACTTAAAGAACTCACATAAAGTTACAGGTATTGCAGGTAAAACCTAATAAAAACTATTGGCTGGACTTCACTGCTTCATGTGGCTAATTAAATTTCGTTTTGGAAATGTCTTATAAGAATCCGAAAAGGAACAGGACAAGTGGTGGGAGAAGCACCTATGGAATTGCAAGAAGAAAAAGAGGTGCAGATTGCTGCAAGATTGAAAAAGATATTTGGAGATCATCCCATTCCACAGTATGAGGTGAATCCACAGACAAAAGACATGTTTTAATGTTTTATTTAAATTATTTATTTATTTATTTTTAGAGAGAGGGGAGGGAAGAAGAAAGAGAGGAAAAGGAATTAGAATGTGTGGTAGCCTCTTGTGCGCCACCTCACCCCCACTGGGCCCCTGCCCCAGCCCAGGGACCTGGCCTACAAACCAGGCATGTGCCCTGACTGGGAATTAAACTGTGACCTTTTGGTTCTCGGCCCATGCTCAATCCACTGAGCTATGCCAGCCAGTGCTGGACAACAGAAATTTTATATCACCTTGCAGAGCACAACAGGGTCAGTGGCAGGGATGTCCACCTCATATTAGAGGACTTGGAACAAAAAGCAAGTGAATATGAATCAGAATCCAAGCATCTTCTGGACCTTCTTTTAAAGGGTGTAAATTTTTCCCCTGCCAGTTGCTCTCCCACTAGGTCTAGGTATCTGAATGCTTTGCTTAACAGTGCAGTGGCCCTTGAAACAAAGGATACCTCACTAGCTAGTTTTCTCTCTGTAGTGAATGATTTGACCTCTGATCTTTTTTGTACCAAATCCAAAAATAAAGAAATCAAGCCTGAGCTGGCAAAAGTTGAAAAAAATAATTGCAAGTTTATTATTAGAAAAATATCTACAAAAGGATCTCAAGAGACAGACCTGCATCTGTCTGCAGAAAAGACCAAAGTGGGCAATCATGTCCAGAACATGGACTTCCTGAGAGCACAGTCAGAGGAGCTCAGGTTTGGAATCAGAGCCACAGAGGAGACACTTTTAGCTAGAGGCATGGATGCTTCTTTGTCTCATCAGTCACCAGCAGCACTTCCAGAGAAATTGGCAGGACTAAAACCACAGACTATATCTTTGAAGAAAATATTGGAGTAATTTTTAGATTTAATCTAAATCTTTCTCTTGCTCAGCTGAAAATTGAAGAAGCAAAACAAGAATTAGACATCTTTGGAGGTGAATTTTAAAAGAAAGTAGACATGATAGAACTGTGAACAGAGCCAAGTAAACTTTGTCTTCTCTAACAAAGTAAATTAAATAGGACTTTAAAGAATTATTTCCTTGTCATGTTTGGTATGGTGTGGTTGGATGTTGTCCCAGAAACTGAAAAGTCTCCTGTTTCATTTCTAGGGCATATGCCTAGATTGCTGGTTTGGTCCCTGGTCTGGGTGTGTACAGAAAACAACTGATCAGTGTTTCTTTCTCACATCATTCTCTATCTATCTCTCTCATATTTTATCCTCTTGCTATTTCTTCATAACTTAGTTTCTGTATTGTTAGATGAGATAATTTCACTGTTGATGGGATGCCGGTGTCTGCTGTGTACTGGATTTTTGTGCCCAAATACACAGGTTTCACATTAAACTATCTTGGTTTCCTATATAAAAGAGTCCAGCAATGCACATTTAAGAGAGCCTGTATAATCCATTATTATTCTTGTTATGTTTATGCAAATAATCAGGACATATTGAGACTGAACCTACCTAATTCTATAAATGGATTTGTCCTAATTTGGCTTTTTTATTAAAATGTGTGTGATTCTGTGTAAAGAAATTATGTTTCAATAGACTGTGTACAGCACAGTTATGGACATTAAATTCCAGTTAAGTAAATTGCTCTCAATTTTTTTAAACATATAAACAGAAATGGATCCTAACGTTTTCTGGCTTCTTCAATAATATTGAGGTTACTCACACAATTTGACTCCTCCATGTTACAAGCCTACTTCTACTCAGGAAGTACCACCTCCAGGAACCATCTTCATGCTCATCCATGTGCAGGCTTCCTCTTCCTTCTGACAGACACCAGCACTGTCTTGGCTCTGAAGTACAACAACAATCCTCTTCAACAGGAAGCAGTGGCAGAAAATATCTAGCACCATGTTTTCTGTAAAAGATTTCAGAGGCAAATTTCTTGAGTGGGACATAATGTAGGCAGTTAGAAAAAATCAGAGCAAAAATGAGAGGCCAGATACCAATGGTCACAAAGACAGAAATCTCAGGTGCCTGGCAGCAGACATGTGAAGAAAACTGAGTAAAAATGGGAACATAGACAGAGGGTGAACTGGAATGTTGACTAGGATAATGGGTGTCAGGTCCCAGAGGCTCCTGTAGACACCTCCCAAACCATCACTATTTCTCCACAGGAGCCAAAGATACACTTGGGACCCCGGAACTCTGTATCAAACACCAAACTGGCTGAAAATTTTGCCTCGGTCATAGGGATAATGAGACAAGTACAGCAACAACCATAGCTAAAATCATCAAAATTTCAAATCAGAGATTAAAGTTATTACAACACTTTCTCTATTTGCATGAATGTCTAATCCTTCTGATGAAACTGGCCTTGTTCTTTAAATTGTCACCCAATAAACTTTTTCTCCTCAAAGCAACAGATTTCTATCAGGTCCTACTGAAGCCTATACCCCATCTCCAGGTGCTCTTAACCTGTTCAGGGGAACATAGAGAAGAACTGATCTTTCCTGATATATGAAAGCAAGTAACTAAAATGATTTGGGCAGCCCTGGCTGGTGTAGCTCAGTGGATTGAGAGCAGGCTGTGAACCAAAAGGTCACTGGTTCGATCCCCAGTCAGGGCATATGCTGGGGTTGCTCGCCAGTGGGGCGCATTGTGAGGCAACCATGCATTAATATTTCTCTCTCTTTCTTCTTCGCTTTCTCTCTAAATAAATAAATAAATAAATAAATAAATAAATATTTTAAAAAATAAATAAAATGGTTTGGGCAGATGAGACCATCATCTTAGCACAGATCAACATGCACACAAATGGCTTAAGATCTCCCCGAATACATACAGATGATGGATATTTATTTAGATGTACTCCACTACCTGGCTGGGGACTAGCAAAGCATCTGCATGTACTGCAGATTCTCTCTAAGACTTAAAACACTATAGCAAATAAAACTGACATCTCACTTCTTAATATTCAGAAATCTGTGACCTCTCTAGCTAGAGTTGTCTTACATAACCAAATTTCTTAGACTACATGCTATCAGAACAAGGAGAATTTTGCAAGACCATCATTCATCTTGCTATTCTTATATTTGCACTTCAGCTCAAATGGAAACAAGCATCACCTAAATCAGGCAACAGACTTCCTGGAACCAACAAACATTGGACTATCACGCCCCTCTCTTTGAAGGAACTTGAGATTGGTTGATAAGTCTATTTCAATAGATACCATAGGGACTTGGGTTCACACAGGATAATTTTTTAAAATTTATGTTTAACATTCTTTGTTTTTCAATGCTTGCATTTATTTTTTTCAAGTCCTTTATGACTTGCTTTTTCCATTCCAGAAAAATAGAATCTGCTACACAGGCACTTCTAAAAAATATAATTCCTTTTAACTCACAAGATATTGCTTTCCAACAGGCTCAGGCTTTTCATTCCTCCACAAGATTCATAGGACATCAATAACCTCATGGATATAAAGGAATAATTGACATAGGAAAATTGAAGCATGAAATAAAAGCTTTAGACTGCTGAGACTTACTGTGAAATGGAATTAGAAATAGTACTAACTTCAGACACACCCACATACTGTCAGTTTTCTTGTAAGTATAATGCATGTGCTACCAGGTCCCATCCTGTTTGTACAAGAAACAATCCTGACCACATATGAGGAGACCCAGGTGGCCCAAAACCAAAAATGTGTTTGACACTAACAAATTCCAGAATTGTGACTGTAACAATCTGTGTCTAGACTGACAAAGACACTGCTTGCACATTCCTGTGATCTCATTGTTCTTTTTATCCCTCTCCCTGCTTACAGAAACCTGCCTGCTCTGAGATAATAATGGGATTTCAGATGATAGTCTCTCACCCTCCTGGTTGCAAGCACCTGGATAAAACCACACTCCCTTATATCAGCACCTACTCTCAAGCATCAGCTTTTGGAACTGTGTGTAACTAGAGTTGTCTTTGGTTTCATCACCATTTTGCATTATGGTGAGGGTTCCCTTCCAGCTTCTTTTTGTGTGGTCATATTGTGGAAGCATCGGCAAGTTCTCTGACCTTATTGAGAAAAGCAATAACTCCTTTATTGGGGCACTGTCATGACCCAAACATCTCCAAATATCTAATTTTAATACTATTCTCCTTGAGAGTGAGGAATTAAACATATAAACTGGAGTAACCCATTTTTCAGAAGAAAGCACTGCCTTGAGCCTCTGGAGAAAAGGTGGTTCTCCCACTACCTTGACCTAAAACAAGTGAAGGCATTTCTTGTTCCATCTTGCAGATTGTACAGGAATAAATGTGTAGAAATGGCATCCCTAGCTATGTGAGAATTAATTCTATTGCCATAGGAACATAGGACAGGCTGAATATGGGCCTCCCATTGTTAAGCATGCCCCCACCCTGTTCCGTGCTTTATGATGACCAGTACTGCTCAGGAGCAGAGACACATGAAAGGCTGTGGCCTCAGGTAAGGAGACTCCTTAGGAAATCACACTGGTTGAGGACTGATAGAACTCTGTGATGTCATAGACTCTGCTGGAATGTGCAACATTGTCCACCCTCAACTTTGCTTTCAGAATTTCATATCTGAGTACTTCCGCCAAGATGGAGGCATAGGAGGAAACACTTCACCTCCTCACACAACCAAATCTAAAAACAAAGTTTTAACAAAAATAAACACAGCCAAGCCACAGAAAATCAAACAATACAGAGTCCGAAAATAACGATCCGCTCAGCTGAGCAGAGAGGGGCAGAGCCCCTCTGGTGAGAGGGGCAGAGCCAGCAGCAGAGTCGGTCGGGAAAAACAGATCCCCTGACCCAGGCGATGCATAGGCAGCCTAGGGCATGAAGCCCAGGTGCGGGGTAGCTATGGGCAGACCCAGGGAAGGCGCTGTTTGGCTGGCTGACTGTGGTCACACGTTTGGGCTCAGATAAAGAGGAGGGGGACAAGCGGTGAGGTGGACCAGACAGGAGGGTGCAGAGAGGACTGCCATTGCTCCCTTTATGACCCCGACCTCATATACAGCATCACAAACCAGCAACCTGGGTGGCCCCGCCCTGGTGAACACCTAAGGTGCCTCTACTCAAACATAACAGGCATGAACAGATCAAAACATGGCTCAAGAAGAACTAGAGCCCCAGAGCCAATAAATCAAAGTGATCAAGAAATTGCTGACCTAAAAGAGACACAATTCAAAACACTGGTGATCAGGATGCTCACAGAACTGGTTGATTTTAGCCACAAATTAGAGGAACATATGAAGGCTAAACTAATTGAAATGAAGGGAAATGCACAGGAAACCAATAGTGATGAACAGGAAACTGGAAATCAAATCAAGGGAGCAGATCAGAAAGAAGGAAAAAAGGACCAAACAGAAAAATATGAAGAAACAAGAATTCAAAAAAATGAAGAGGCTAAGGAACCTCCAGGACATCTTTAAATGCTCCAACATCCAAATTATAGGGGTACCAGAAGGGGAAGAGGAACAGCCATGAGTGGAAACCTTATTTGAACAAATAATAAAGAAGAACTTCCCCATTCTGGTAAAGGAAATAGACTTCCAAGTAGTCCAGGAAGCTCATAGAGTCCCAAAAAACTTGGACCCAAGAAGGAACACACCAAGACACATCATCATTACATTAGCCAAGATTAAAATGAAAGAGAAAATCCTAGAAGCAGCGAGAGATAAGGGGACAGTCAACTACAAAGGACTTCCCATCAGACTGTCAGCAGATTTCTCAAAAGAGACCTTACAGGCAAGAAGGGAATGGAAAGAAGTATTCCAAGTCATGAAATGCAAGGGCCTACAACCAAGATTGCTCTATCCAGCAAAGCTTTCATTTAGAATGGAAGGACAGATAAAGTGCTTCTCAGATAAGAGCAAATTCAAGGAGTTC